GAGGAGACCCAGGAGTGACTGTGTAGATGGCAAACCAGGAAGGATCTGGTCTGACTCGAAACACTAAAATCAGCAGGCGAGGGTGAGGGCTAGGGGCAGAGACTACTGAAGAACACCGACAAGAACGACCAGAATCTCTACTCCTACCTCAGAACGAACAATCCTGGGTGGCATGAAGATGCAGGTAGGATCCTCCGAAAAAGAGAGAGCTGAAGAGGCCAGGAATAATAGACGGCAATAAGAGGAGTGGGAGTGAACTAGGAAAAGGGCCTGGGGCTGAACACTATTTTAGGCTGGAGTAGGAGCCTGGATAAGTCTTTGACCTTCCCGAAGCCTCGATGTTGCCATCCCCAAAATGGGATGCCTCAGAGCAGACACGAAGGATAGGTGGAACAAGGAACTGCAGGGTGAGAGCAAAGCGAGGGAAAGAATGCTCCCCACCCTCGGCCGCGGACCACTCACCTGTACCGCCGCGGGGGGCACCGCCGCCCCCGATCCTCCAGGGTTGCCGTCGAGCTGCCGCTCGCGGTAAAGAGCCCAGAGCCCCACGTTGGGCAGCAGGACAAGGGCCGCCAGAGCCAGCGCCACCGCCTGCAAGAGCCGCTTCTCTTTGCGCCTCATCGGGGCCGGTCCGCCCCGCCGCGCCCCGCCGCGCCCGCCCCCGGCTTTGCGCGTCCGCCCGTCCGCCCGGCGGCGGCAGCAGTTCGGCCAGCAGAAGCGGCCGCGGCGCCGGCCCCGCTCCAACTCCGCGGCACTTCCGCTGCTCGCCGGTGGGGGAGCCGGGCGCCTCCACCGTGTCACCGCCATGGGGGTGCGCTCCAACCCATCATCCCCTGGCATTTCATTCCACGTCCTGCACCTCGCTTTCCGCCAAGAGATGCACGGTTGAGTCCTATGCGCCTCCATCGTTCAATCCTCCATCTACTTATAGAGCATCTCCATCCTCCAGGATGCCAGAGGGCCCCGGCTCCTGACTGCTACCCCCCCCGCGGGCTCTAATGGTGCATCCTCCTTCGCCGCCGCTCCCCGCCCGCTGCAGCTTTGCCAAAGTCCCGGAGTTAGGGAGTTGGGCGCTCGCTGGGGCCGCGGGGCACGCGATCGGGGACGCCCTGGGGAACTCGCGCGGCTCTCTGCCAGCTCTCAGCCAGCGAGAGCCCCGGGGCTGCGCGGACAGGCTACTACCTACTGCGCTGGGATGCTGAAGTCCACTCTTTTCCCGGCTCTGCCCCGGGACGTGCTAATCAAACCTGTCTTTGACCTGGGGACTCCATGCAACCTGTATGCAGAGGGCACCTTGCGCATCGCTCAGTTGGCGGTCGGGTTTCCTTCTTCCTCTCCAAGCTGTGGAGTGCTGGATGCTCCGTGTCACTAGTATGGGTTCTTTGCAAAACCATCGAGGAGCTGGCCGGATCCTCCTTGCAAGAGCTATTCTCATGCACAACCAAGCCAGTGGACTTGGACTGCCTGCCAGTCCCAACTGTGCTTCTGGACACAGTGCCCAGAGCACGTTCCCAAAACCTCATGACCTTTTCTCTCTCGAATTCAAACCTCCAGCGAGCGCCCACGGTGGGCCCGATGCTGAGCCAAGAGTGAAGAGAAAGGAAAAGCAGAACTCGCACTGGTACCTGGGGTGGGGTTGGGGGCCGCAGAACAGAAAGCTCAGCTGTGCATAGCAGAGCCAGGAAGACTTGTCCACAGAAATCTGGATTCTGAGCTGCTGACCGGAGTTCACATGAAGCCTGTGGGATCCTCTTCCAGGCGCTGAGTGCCTGTCTTTTAGCAGCTTACTCCAGGATGCCCAAGGACAGCCCCCTCCTCTCTGCTTTCCTCTTTACTAACCTTCCTGCAGGCGCACGCATTGGCTCTATCCTCTGCTTCTCCAGCGAAGCCACTGAGCCCTGTGGCTACCGCTATCCCGGGACCAGTGTCCTAAATTCTAGCCTTACATGTCTAACTCCAGGCTGAGCAGTGAATTTTTTTTTCTGACATCACAGCTTGGGTCACTCATGGTCACTGCAGAGTCCATAGTCCCCGGTTATATTTCCCTAAGGTAAAATATTTCCCCCTCTGCCTGGCCTTTCTTTCTTTGGTTCTGCTGCTAGCTTTGTATGCTCTTCGAAGTGCTGTTGACCATACAGATCCTTGCACCAACAAAACAAAACCCTAAAACAAACAAACAAAAACGAAAAACCTCTTCATCTTTGTCAGGGGACACCTCTGTGTCTAGAGAAATCACTACTTCTTCCTCCAAGTCTCCTCAAACCCAGCCCCTTGCTGTTTATCAGAGCACAGTAGGCACTCCTACATCAGGTTCAGTTCCCTGGACCCATGTTTGGCTCCTGGCACCCACATGAGACAGCTCACAACTGCCTGTAATTTAGTTCCAGGTCATCTGATATTCTTTCTGGCCTGTGTGGGCACCTTGTGGTGCACAGGCATACATTTAGGTACATACATATACTCATAAATAATAAATATCTTTAAAAATAATTTGTAGTGCGATGCAATACGTAACAATTTATCATTTTTAACTATTTAAAAACACTTTTTTTACACTGTGTGTGTGTGTGCACACGTGTCCCCCTCTCCCCCCACCCCGGAAGGATGAGGGATGCTTCTAAGACTCAGGAAGTAAGTTAGTCTCACAAGACTCAGGAAGTTTAAAAAGTTAAAAGATGTCAAGTTTCCTCCCCAAAGTTATATAAGCTGTAATAATCCTGGGGAGACAGGATCCTCGGAATCAACCATGCTGCCCTTCAGGGTGTCCAGGGAGCTCCAAGGGGCATGAGCTATCATCCACACTGGCATGGGCTTTTTAGTGACACCCCTGAAAATAGCCCAAATAGCCAGCTGGCTGGCTCCCTAAGATAGACTTGGGTGATATCATTTCTTTGGTATGTTGTCAGTGTCTTGCCTGTGACAGACATTTGCTCACATCTCCCCAGAAGAAGTCACACATGCATACCCTATGTTTGTTTATCCAGTTAGCTATTGATGGACAATTGGGCTATCCCCATCATTCCCCAATTATGTGTAACGCTGAGTCCTGTCTGGTGCTGTCGTGAGTATGCAGTGTTGGTGGAGTTAGATAGCACTGCTTCCCCACCCTGGAGCATGGTGTGGGTAGCTGCATCTATCATGACCCTGTTGTAAACTGTGGCTTCCCCTACTTTAGAATAACTCATGAGAGGGCTGAGGAGATGGCTCAGTCAACAAGGCTCTCACCTCACAAGCCTGAGGACTGGACCAAGCCACAGAGCCCAAAGCCAGGATTACAGAAGTGCATGCCTGTAATCCCAGTGATGGTGAAGGGGGGTGGAGAGAGATGGAGTCCTAGAAACTCTCTGGTCAGCTAAAGCAAAGAAAGAGGGGGAAGGTGATGTCAAACTTATCCCCAGACCTCCACATGCATCTGTGTGCACACGCCAGTAGCCCATGAGACTCCTTTGCTCAAAGCCTAGGTTTATGCCAGGTCTCATCCTCTCCCAGTTACCCTGGTTTTTGATGCCTTAAACACATACACTTTACAGCCTCACCTCAGGGCCTAGCCACATTAACTTTGTCAACTTGACACAGCCTACAGCCATCTGACAGGGGACCCACAACTGAAGAAGTGCTTTAATCAGATTAGAGGTGGGCACATCTGCAGGGGGTGGACTTGGTTATTAATTGATGAGGGAGGGCTCAGTCTACAGTGGGAGGTCCCTGGGCAGGAGATCGTGGGTTGTAGAAGAAAGCTAGAGACACAGGGCTAAGAGTGAGCTAGGGAGCAAACAAGCAGCCTCCTTCCTGCAGTGACTTCCTGCAATGACAGACTTTGACCTGGGTGTATAAGCCAAACAAACCCCCTGTTTGTCTCCCAAGTTACTTTTGGTCAGTGTTTTATCACAGCACCAGAAGGGAAACCAGACAACTTCTAGAACTCTTTTCTTCTGAACCTTTGCAGGGTTCTCTTCATTTTTTCTCAGGAACCAGACCAGAGGTCCCACCTCTTGAGATGGCTTCCCTAGCCTCCATCTCCGAAATCTCATCTCCATTTGTTTGGTTTTCTTAAGAGCAGATCTGAAGCTGAGCCTCCCTGTCAAGAACACAAGTCCCAAGCATTTGGAAAAGCAAGATTTCCTTGTCTCCTAGAAACACATCCTTCTCAGCCAACACATGCCCTGCCTTTACTGCCAACCAGGAAAGCAGAGCCTCTTCCCGCAGAGGAATTTGTGATGAGTACCCAAGGACTTTACTTCCTTCACTGTCGCCCTACATCTTGTGAAGCTCAGGACCCAGCTGGATGTCCTGCTCAGTAATTCCTGACTGGGTGAAGCATGCAGTTAATGTCACTAGGGGAGGAATGCATTCCGTCTTGCTCTCCTCCCCCTCTTCTTTCAGCTCCCTAGAGCATCCCACAGGAAATTGGATTTGAGCTTTCTCTTACGACTTAGCAAAGTCACTTGTTGATCAAAGCTCGTAGCAGCTCAATCGGCCCCCAATGGGGACTGAGAAGCCAGCTTTAATCTGAAGTCTCTTTGATCGCTTTCTACCATGTGGGATGGGCCAGACAGGAGGAGGGCTCCCTGGACTTCATCTCCTATTCACAGAGAAAAATGCCACTTTCCCTGAAAACTGAGCTAGCCCTGAACTGAAATCCACGGGAGCTGTTACTTTCAGATTAAGTCTCTTCACTAAGCCTGGAGTGATCGTTAAATGAGATAGTGCACTCAAAGACTAATGGCAGACCCTGTCCAATGTGAGCATAGTAACTGTGGATGGAAAGAAAGCTCAGCGCCAACAGGAACATAGAAACAAAAGTGTCAGCTGCAGGGCAGCTCAGACTGCTCTGGCTTATCCTCCTTGCCTGAGACCATCTACAGATACCTTCTTCCTGCTGCTCTGTTTCTGGCCCTGAGACCCTGATTTGCTCTTGATTCTGCCAGCTGCTTGCCAGATCTCCCATGTGGCCAGCTGGCACTCATCCTCCAGTCCCTGTGAGAACATGACCTCTTCACATCCATCCTTTTGAAAATTCTTTCTTCCACACCTAGAGCTCAATGCAGTTTCGTCACACACAGCACACAGCCCTCTTGGCTACAGGCTTATCTCCTTCTTCATCATTGGAGGCTCTCAATAGACTATCCACTTAGAGCCTTGGGGCAGGCACTTGCCTCTTCACACCCTGCCACATCCTGGAGCTGGAGGAGAAACTCGGATTCTGACACTTCAGAAGGGATTACATTCTGTGTCCTACCAGAGTCTCTGTTCCCCCTTCCCAGTCTCACTTCTCTTTGCATATCTAGAAGGAGCTGTTTGTTTCATGGCTGGCTGGCTCCTCAGTGTTCTATCCCGTCACCAGTAACAGACAGAGCCACTCAAAGGAGAGGGTGACAGGTGCAAGCCTGCAGCATGCAGCTCCAGCTGGGTGTCCTCCCTTTCCCTTCAGAAGCCCTGTTGCAGAGCCAGGCTTGGCGAGGCCAAGCTCTGAGCAGAGGGACATGGAGTCCTTGAGGTATAGGCGAGGCCAGTCTGTTTCAAATACTCTTTAATCTTGTCAAGGCCTTGAGCAGATTCAAGTTCCTATTTCTTACTCAGCTGGGCTTGGTGCATATCTGTAACCTCAGCACTTGGGAGAG